AGGGGAACGGGAGCATCGCGGCAGAGGGAGGAGGGGCGCGGCTCCGTCCCTTGGCGGCTTGCGCGGGGAGGGGCGGGGGCCGGGCGATGACGACGGCGATGACGGCGGGGCGGTTTGGAGCGGAGCGGCGACACTGGCGACAGGCGCGTGCAGAGGCTGACGGCGGCGGTGACCGGGCGGTCGGCCACCACGGCACGCGCGCGCGGGAAGCAACTGGCGGCGTTCGCGCGGGCGCACACACGCTGGCTCGCGAGGACGAGCGGCTGTGCGGCTGCAGGCGCGGCAGAGCGAGGGGAAAGGGAGGGGGCGCTCGGCGTGGCGGCTCACGCGCACGCGCGCGCGGCGTGCGGGCGAGGCTGAGCGGGGGAGCGGGGAGAGAGGCGCTCGGGGCGGCTCTCGCACGCGCGAGCAGCGTACGGGCGAGGCCGAGCGGGGGGGGAGAGATGGGAGAGCGAGAGAGAGAGAGAGAGAGAGAGCGCCCGGGGAGAGGGGGGCCGGGGGAGAGATGGGCCGAGCGGAAATCGGCCCATCGAACCCGGGGGAGGCAAACTAGACTTTTGCGGAGGAATTTGGTTTGGAGGGATTGGATTCGGAATTGAACTCGACGATAGATCGGGGATTGAGATCTTGAGATGGCACGGACACTAGACAACAAGCAAAGAAACAAATTTCGCAATTAGGGTTTTTAAGAGATAATTTTCCCGCTAGGCGCCACGACGGAACGGGCGCTACATGTACTTGTTGAAAATGAAAGACGAGACTCTAGACTATTTTAAAATTTATAAGGCAGAAGTTGAAAATCAACTTGACAGAAAGATAAAAAGGCTTAGGTCTAATCGTGGTGGAGAGTTTTTCTCGAACGAGTTTGACTTATTTTGTGAGGAACATGGCATCATACATGAGAGGACGCCTCCCTATTCTCCCGAATCTAATGGGATTGTTGAAAGGAAGAACCGCACACTGACTGACTTGGTGAATGCCATGTTAGACACCGCGGGACTACCTAAGGCATGGTGGGGGGAGGGATTGTTGATCTCGAATCATATGTTAAACAGAGTTCCTAACAGAAATAGAGACCAAACACCATATGAGATATGGATTGGGAGAAAACCATCACTTTCTTATTTGCGCACATGGGGGTGTTTGGCGAAAGTCAATGTACCAATAACGAAGAAGCGCAAACTTGGACCTAAGACTGTGGACTGTGTCTTTCTGAAATATGCTCATCACAACATTGCCTATAGATTTTTAATAGTTAAATCCGAGGTACCTGACATGCATGTTGGTACAATTATGGAGTCTCGTGATGCTACCTTCTTTGAGAGCTTTTTCCCAATGAAGGATACACATAGTGGTTCGAGCCAACCCTCTGAAATAATTCCCAGTTCAATCACACCACCAGAACAAATTGAACATACACATGAACATGTCTCTGAGGAGGATGTTAGTGAAGCTCCTCGAAGGAGTAAGAGACAAAGGACGGCTAAGTCCTTTGGTGATGATTTCACTGTGTACCTCGTGGATAACACTCCTAAGTCAATTTCAGAAGCATATGCATCTCCTGATGCAGACTACTGGAACGAGGCTGTCCGTAGTGAAACGGGACTTGGGAGGTGACAGAGCGACCCTATGGGTGTAAACCTGTGGGGTGCAAGTGGGTGTTCAAGAAGAAGTTTAGGCCTGACGGTACTACTAAAAAGTACAAGGCTCGGCTTGTTGCTAAGGGCTATACTCAGAAAGAAGGCGAATATTTCTTTGACACTTACTCACCTGTTGCTAGATTGACCACAATTCGTGTGCTACTTTCCCTAGCAGCCTCATATTGTCTTCTTGTTCATCAAATGGACGTTAAGACAGCTTTTCTTAATGGAGAGCTGGATGAGGAGATCTATATGGATCAACCTGATGGGTTTGTAGTTGAAGGTCAAGAAGGCAAAGTGTGCAAATTGTTGAAGTCTTTGTATGGTCTGAAACAAGCTCCTAAGCAATGGCATGAGAAATTTGACAAACCATTGACATCTACAGGCTTTGCAGTCAATGAGGCAGATAAATGTGTGTACTATCGCCATGGTGGGGGTGAGGGAATTATTCTGTGCTTGTATGTTGACGACATACAGATATTTGGGACAAATCTTGAGGTGATAAATGAGGTTAAATCATTCTTGTCTCAAAATTTTGATATGAAGGATTTGGGAGTAGTTGATATTATCTTAAACATTAAGCTAATTAGAGGTGAGAATGGGATTACACTCTTGCAGTCCCATTATGTGGAGAAGATCTTGAATCGCTTTGGCTACATTGATAGTAAGCCTTCTCCAACACCTTATGATCCTAGCTTGTTGCTTCGCAAGAACAAAAGAATTGCTAGGAATCAACTGGAATACTCCCAAATCATTGGCTCGCTGATGTACCTGGCTAGTGCAACTAGGCCTGATATCTCCTTTGCTGTGAGCAAGTTGAGCCGGTTTACCTCTAATCCGGGAGATGATCACTGGCGTGCGCTTGAGCGAGTAATGCGCTATCTGAAAGGTACTATGGAATTGGGGCTTCACTATACTGGGTATCCTGCGGTACTGGAGGGTTTTAGTGATTCTAACTGGATCTCTGATGTGGATGAGATCAAAGCCACTAGTGGATATGTCTTCACACTGGGTGGTGGTGCTGTTTCGTGGAGGTCTTGCAAACAGACCATTTTGATGAGGTCAACCATGGAAGCAGAACTGACAGCACTGGATACTGCTACTGTTGAGGCAGAATGGCTGCGTGATCTATTAATGGATCTGCCTATTGTTAAAAAACCGATGTCGGCTATCCTTATGAACTGTGACAATCAAACGGTAATTGTCAAAGTGAATGGTTCTAAGGATAATATGAAATCGTCTAGACATTTGAAAAGACGATTGAAGTCTGTTAGGAAATTAAGAAACTCCGGAGTTATAACGTTGGATTACATCCAAATAGCTAGAAACCTGGCAGATCCCTTCACGAAGGGACTATCACGAAATGTGATAGATAATGCATCGAAGTATATGGGTTTGAGACCCATGTGAGTTATACTATGGTGGTAATCCAGTCTATGTGATCGGAGATCCCGTGAATTAGAACCTGGGAAGAACAAATCATTAGTAAACTAGAGGAGAGTACCAATCTATACCCTCTCTAAGTGAAGATGCATGTACTCTCGTGAGCTGCAAGGCAGGTTGGCTATGCCTTAATGAGTTCTGTTGGCTTTAATTAGCGAAGATGTTGTCATGCAGAGCATTCTTGAAAGAACTCACATTTGTAAGCTTGACTGTTGGTCGCAGTCTATAGAAATTTTGGGTGAATCTTCTAGGAAGCTTACTAAAGACCTAGGAGTATGACTTATACGCTCCACCCGAGGGGTAGTCTACAGTCGGTCTAGTACTAGATAAGACTCTGAGTGAAACTTGCTTGCACAAGACTTGCAATTCAAGGCGTAGTCCATTGTTCAAGTTGTGAGTAAGTGTAGCTTGGAGTTCTAGGTGGATGTTCAACCTTAATCGGTCTCCATCGAACCGCTGGTATATAAACAGTACATTGGAAAAAGCAAATCTCAGTGGGATTTTGAGATTTGGTGGGGGATTGTTGGAATTAATAGATGGGCTAAGGCCCATTCGAAGATTAATTCTTTGTAAAATCACAAAAGCCCACCTCATGGGATGGCATGCATGTGGAGTTTAGTACCACCTTGCTTATTCTAGGAGAGGGGGACCTCCTTAAAAGGGAGGATACCCTCCTAGCCACTTGAAGCATGTGTGGTGGAGAGAAGAGGGGAAACACACGGACTCGCTCGCCTCGCCTCGCCGGGCCGGGCCGGCGGCGCGCGTGCACGACGTACGCGTCGAATGGTCCGCAAAATTGGCTATTCACCCTTGCGCAGATGCAGCCTCCTTTTGCAGTTTTGTTTTGCTGCGGGAAATTCGGATTTGTTTTGTTTTGGAATCATTCCGAAAAATCCGGTGCGTGAAAACGGCATGGAGTCTGGATAGGTTACGCGTGACTTATCCGGTTCGGTTTACGCGGGCGCCCTGATCAGGCGATCTATCTCTATATAAACCGAGCCACCGCCTTCACGCAACATACGCGAAATCAATCTAGGGTTTGCCTCCTACTCTGTACTGCGCTGTCGCTCATAGACTACTCCATCCCGCTCGCCGGCGTGCACCGGCGATCGGGAGAGCAGGTTTCCGGAACCTCTGCCTTCGACGTCCTGCACCGGGAGAAGGCGGCAATAAGGTTTTTGGGAAGCGCTTCGCGCGACTGCTCCCTATTCGTCCGCGACGGCCCGCCTTCCTCTCCGCTTGCGTGCTTCGTGTCTTCGTCGACGCTCGCAACCGTGAGTAGTTCCTGCCGAGCAACCGGTCTTTCCGCCACCTCGGTATATGTTCGACATGTTGCGCGTATTTGATCTGTTCATGTTTTACTGCTTAGTTTACATGTGTAGATCTAATGATGCGTTCAATCTAGTTTACATCTGCAATGTCATGATTTATTTATGGAATAAGTTAAATCATTATATGCTTATAATTTCAACAGTAGCCCCATCTAATCATTTTAATTAGTCTGATCCAGCGCCCATACTCCATGGAGCCCCATAAGTATCCTGTGTGTGTCACGTTGTTCCGCATTGCTTTCGTATGTTTTTGCTTGTGTTTGAACCGTATGGCCTCCTTTTCTTAATCTGTTCTTGGTTCCATAGGTGATGTAACGATGTTAAGTTTAACCGTTTATTATGGTTCCATTGATAACAGTACTACCAATCTGTGAACTACGCTGACGTTGACAAGGGGGTCGGCTCGAATAATCCAATAAACTTCACCCTCGGGATCGTACTATCCTCTATTGGATTTTGTCACTTTAGACCGGAAAATAGCAGAGACCATCACCTGGTCAGATGCATGTTTTTCACATTCGACAACTGCATGTTTTTGCGCTATATATACGGCCCAAAGGCGGAGAGATCGATCAAGCACAGGCTCAGTTAGCTCTCACCATGATCAAGCAACCAAGCGTTAGCCTCGCCCCAAACACCAGCTGCCAGCCGCAGCATGCGCTGGCCCGTGCTGCAGCTGGATCGGCTCGGTCTCGCCGTATTAGCTGCCTGCACCTCGCCGTGCTGCACGTCGGGCGCCACCATGCACGGGCTCTCTGTTCCCATGAATCAGCTTTCTCCGGCGCCAATAACAATACCAACCACGACGTCAAATTAAGGTCCATGCATCTTTGCTGCTCAACATTTTGGGTGCCATTTTGCTTGGCTAGCTGTTGTAATTGAGTGCCAAATTAAGTTGATGTTCGTTTTCTTTAACTTTTAACTTTGTGTTTTGGATGAAATTCAGGCCGCGCAAGTTCTTCGAGATGGAGATGAGCGTCCGCGACTGCGAGCTTGACCAGTATGGCGTTGTCAACAACGTTGTCTACGGTAGTTACGTCGAACGAGGTTTGCTGTAATTACAATATTTGCATGTAGCAGTGTTACTATCCTCGAAGGAATTAACTAAGGAGGTGTTTGGGACATAGGAACTCTCACAAAAACATAAGTTTCTCTTATAGGGATTAAATTTTTTTGTGAGTCCCTCCTTCCTAAACACCACCTAATTAATATCACCTATTAATCACATATTTGCATGTAGCACGAGAGGAGTTGGCTGAATTTCTCGGAGTAAGCGCAAGCACGGCAGCGTGCACAGGCAACGCGATGGCAGTCTCGGAGCAGAACTTCAAGTACTTCACCCCTCTGAAGGTATACATATACACACAAGAAAATATAAGCACATTTGTAAATTTGCCACTGATTTTTATCAGTTTTGTAAGGATGCCACTTGAAGTACAATTCTAATGATATTTTTGTAAACTTTTAGTGACAGACTTGCAATAATAATTCAAACTAGTGACAAATACCTCTAGCTAAAAATTTTGAGGTTTATGATAAGACTAGGTTCAAACTTTAAAATTACAATAATCAATTTTATGTTAGAAGTTATAGTAAAATTTATGATACGACAATGTTATTTTTCAAAGTAAATCTATATGTATCATTTCTATTTTTTAAGCTAATCATATTTGAGAAATTATTGGTTGGTGGAATTTTAAAAGTTTAACTGAATCAGTTTTGAACGTTTAATACCTTTGAACGGAGAAAATAGTAATTTAGCTCATTAAAGGCTGGAAACTAATTAAGCAACATTATTTCCAGCGCGGGGACAACTTTGTTGTAAAGGTGACAATACAGATCAAGGGTGTACGTATATACGCTGATCAATTCATCGAGACGTTGCCTGATCGCAAGGTAATTAATTAGAGCATTCCCAGTGCTTCATGTAGGATGTCTATAGCATTAATTGTGTACTACCACGTACTCCCTCTATAAAAAAAAATCGTTTTAGACAGAAACACGGTCTCCAAAACATAACTACTTCTTATTTCTATAAAAATATTTATTAAAAAGTAATATATATGTATACTTTTATAAAAGTATTTTCAAGACAAATCTATTCATATATTTTTTATATTTTTAAACTTAACAACTTGAGAGTTATTTATGATTCATATTCCCAAGATTTGATTTAAACATTATTCTAAACGAAAGTATTTACGAGTACAGAGGGAGTATAAGCAAAATGCTGACTTGTCACCTGAGGTCACGTGTAAATGCTATAACTCGGACAGAAAGTCCAAAATAGTTTGATCCAACCAAAAATACACTGCGGCATATGTTAATATAATATAGAGTAAATTTCACAAAACTACATGTATTTTGCACAATCTATCATAAAACTACAGATTTAAAAGCTTATTTCATAAAACTACATATTTAGTGTCTTCGTTTATCATAAAACTACAGGTACTTTGTATAATCTATCACAAAACTATAGATTTAAGAACTTGTTCCACAAAAATATAGATTTAGTGTATTCCTTTATCACAATGCTACACATTTAGTTTCTTCATTTATCACAAAATTACAAAACTATATGTTTTAGAATGGAGACACTAAATCTGTAGTTTTGTGATAAATGAAGATATTAAACCTGTAGTTTTGTTAAACAAGTTCTAAAATCTGTAGTTTTGTGATAGATTGTGCAAAGTATCTGTAGTTTTATGAAATTTACTCTATAATATATATATATATATATATATATATATATATATATATATATATATATGCTCGTCACATGCTCCTACGAAAATATTATGGTGCTTATACAAATATTTATTTTTTTCATTTAAAAACACCTAAATATGAACTAATTATAGAGATCAGGTCTAAATAGACAGTCAATACTCTATCTCTTCTCTGGACACTTCTACATCATGACTATCTATAGGAGTAGTCTTGGGGGTAGTGAATGCATGCTGTGCATATGCTAAGTGCTAGCTGCACTGCTGCACGTTTTCTTAGCGAGAAGAGAAGAAATGGTTCAGTTTTTTTTTTTCGTGTGCATTACATTTTCAGTACATTACATGTCTAACCTGCATAATCGCATATATCTGCATATGCACGCGAGCTGTTTGTCACGACGTTTAATTCCCGTCTCTTGATGCATGCAACGCAATATAACGGCAGCTCGTTTTGGAAGCGAAGGCCACCATCGTCTGCCTCGACGGAGAATACCGTCCAACTCGCGTGTTCCCGGAACTGTCCTCCAAGGTGCTGGACTTCTTCTCGCACAGGGAAGCTAGCGATTAATGATTTCGGTCACAAGACTCGTCGAAGTAACAAGCTATGATGTAGTATCGGTTTATGGGTGCATGATGCATGAGGCAGAAGAGATCTCAAGTTTTACCTGTTATTCACCATATAATGTACGTGTGTTTTACCGTGCCTCCAATATCAAATTTCAAGTTAATTAAATTCTGTATGGTTGTGGATGTTACTATACTATATATGTGCCTCATTGCAACATTTGATAAAAAATATCCAAACTTATCTTCATTGTACTTTTGCGCCACAGGGAGCACTAAAAGTGTTTTATACGAACACTGGGCCTACGAAATGAAAACAGTCAGAAACTGTTGAAAAACCACTCTCTCACCTTCATTACCTTTTCTCCGAAATAAAATCGGGAACGGTACATCCGAAAAAGATAACGATATCGGTACTATTAGTTTAGTGAAAATAAAACTACCAGAACAGAAGTATATCGATATCAGGTGGAAACCAAAAATTCACATCGAAAACAACGCATTATATCATCGCGTACAATTTAAGTATTTAACTATCGCATATCTACGGATAACCTATGTCGGACCTCATCAGTAGACATATTCTCGTGATTTTGGCCTAATCCCACCTCTAAGTCTTCAGCCCATTTAGCCCATGTAATAACCTTCTCCAAATGAGACCCTGGCACAAGAACGTAGGTCGGCAGGTAGCGCCGAAGCGACGGAAGGGTCCAAGACGAAGATATCCGGAATTGATCTGATGCGTTGTGCTAGCAAAAATTGATTGATCTTGCTGTCTTATTGATGCTTGGTTGGGATTTCACGGGAATAACCCACAGCAGCCGGCATTGGTGGATGATTGGCTAGAGAAGAACTTCCGGAATTTCACCGGTAGTTTTTCGGAAATTACCGGCCGGACAAAAAACGGATTCCGAAGAAACGACTGGAAAAACCCCTCTTCTGTTTTATTACCATTTCTGGAAAACATTACCGTTTCAGTTACTGAAAATTTCCGTTAGTGAATGAATTGATCGGTAAAAACTGAAAACGGCTACACGATCTGAAATTTTCATACTACCATTTTCATCCCTGGCCAATTGGCCGGTCATGCGTTGTAGTTTGCACAAACAGATCTAGTCAGTACCAGAGGTTTGCCAATTGTGACACAGAGAAATTATGAGTCTTTTTTATATCAATTCGTTCTAGTACACAAGATTACTAGAGTAGTGAAGGCAACATTCCCTTTTCAGGCTTCACTTGCTTTCATGTTCATAGTACTACTCCGCTTTTACATATATAAATGTATAAATATTTTGTGGTATTTCTTTTTGATTCATAGTAATTAGAGAAGTTCTATGGTACTTGAGAAAGTATCCTGAGGTATCTAAATTTTACATTAAAATTTTTGTTATCTTTGAGGTACTAAATACTTAGAGATATCAAATTTTATACTAGAAAATGTAGTATCTTTAGATATATTTCAAGGAAGGCAAAATTACCCTAGTAATTAATATCACGATTTTCTAATCGTTCTAGTTTTGAGTATATGCCTTGTAAACTTCCTGCGACACATCAACCCGAGCTGAGCTTTCCCTGGTATCCCTCTGCTCTCTATAGATATCAACCACCTCAGGTAAAGTCTACAACTTGTCAGATCATTTTTGTACTTCCCAAAAATTTCAGTCATACGGAGTATAATTCAACAATTTGACTGTGTGTATATCAGTTGTAGATATGGACAATGGATTTCTATCTATTATTGAAAAATATATAATGCAGCAGATGGATTAGTGAGGGCAAAGAACAACCTCACCATGCACCCATTTGTCACGTTTTTTCTGCTTTGCTTTCATATGTTTTATTTTGTGTTTGAACAGATGGTGATGTTAAGTTTAACTGTGAATTATATGGTCCCATCGTCCATCAACGATATTCTGTGAACTACGTTGACGTTGACAAGGGTGCATTGAGGGCCCGTTTAGTTCCTAAATTTTTTTCCCAAAAATATCACATCGAATCTTTAGACATATGCATGAAGCATTAAATATAAATAAAAAGAAAAACTATTTGCACAGTTACGGGGAAATCGCGAGATGAATCTTTTAAGCCTAATTAGTCCGTGATTAGTCATAAGTGCTACAGTAACCCACATGTGCTAATGACGGCTTAATTAGTCTCAAAAGATTCGTCTCGCGGTTTCCAGGCGAGTTCTGAAATTAGTTTTTTCATTCGTGTCCGAAAACCCCTTCCGACATCCGGTCAAACGTCCGATGTGACATCTAAAAATTTCCTTTTTCCCAACTAAACACACCCTGAATCCAAGGCCTCGATACTACCTCTCGACAATTTCATCTAAAAATATAATAGTCCCTCTCGACAATTTCATCTAAAAATATAATAGTCTAAAATCGAATGAGGCGTCGATTTTAGGTTATTATATTTTAAAACAGATGGAGTAATTTAAATTAGGAAAAAAAAAGCAAGTTCTGAACTTCGATGCAAAGGGCAAGGACGACGTACCGTGACGCCCACAATGTCACGTTGTTCTGCGTTCTTTTCATATGGTTTTGCGTGTGGTTGAAATGTGGGTCTGTCAGTCTGTGGCCTTCTCTTCTTTTTATTTTTTATCTGATCCTCGTTTCATACCTGATGTAAGTTTAATCGTTTATCTATTATGCTTCTGTCCATGATACATTGATACTACCTTCATTTTTTAATAGATGACGCCATTAATCTTTTATTACATTGATACTACCTTTATTTTTTAATAGATGACGTCATTAATCTTTTATTACACGTTTATCCATTCGTTTATTAAAAAATATATAATTATAATTTATTCTGTTATAAGTTGTTTTATCACTTAAAGTATATTTTATATATTTGTGTAAAATTTTTGAATAGGACGGATGACCAAATATGTTTTTAAAAGTCAATGGTGTTCTCAATTAAAAAATAGAGTAAGTACTAATATGTGAGCAACGTTGACGTTGGCAAGGGTGAGGGTTGACTGGTTGACCAATCGGACTGGCGTCTGTGCCGACGAATCCAGTAGCTTTCACTCTCGGGATCGTTCTCTGCTCTCGGATTTTGGCAACCAGGAGAACAGCAGACTATACTATCACCAGGCTTGGTCAGACCACGTGCAACAACTGAATGTTTCGCCTCTACTGTATAATAGACGGTTCAAAGCTAGGAGACCGTCCATCACTGCATTCACCAAGTCACCATGCAGCAACCAAGTGTTGGCATCGTCGTCCCAAACGCCTGCAGCCACCCGCGAAATGATGCCGTGCCCCGTGCAGGATCATCGCGCTCTCGCCGCAGTAGCCTGCACCTCGCCGGCCGCCACTCGCACCGCTGCCATGCACGGGCTCTCTGCGCTGCCCCGGACCTCCATTCCCGCGAAGCTATCGTCTCTGCCAAAGACAACACCAACCAGGATGCCAAATTGAGGTTCAATATTAATTTCTTTAGTGTCTGAAATGCTGGATGCAAGAGAGGAGCCCGATATCGTGATATATCTATATACTACTTTAGAAAATACTAATAATTATGGTATAGGTGACTCTACCACCAGTCTATCATCATTATTTTTTCTCGTTTTACAAATTAGTGTATGATATTTTTATAAAATGTCAAAATCCCTTATATTATAAGACGGATGGAGTAATATTTATGATATAAGTGACTCTACCACCAGTCCATCATCATTATTTTTTCTCGTTTTACAAATTAGTGTATGATATTTTCTGGTGAATAAAAAAATTATATAATATACTAATATATTTTTTAATCAAATGAATAATATATATTTATATAAGTGTGAGCATTTTATCCATAGCAAAGCACCAATATTCTGCTAGTTAAGAAGAAATATGAGCGTGCTCTGAAGTCGAGCAGGTCCATTTTGTTTTGTTGTTGATTGTTAGTTACACCTCTGTAACGAAATCCTGTAATTGGCCCTGAATTAAGTTGATGCGCGCTTTTTTTACTTGTATTTTGGATGAAATTCAGGGCGCGCAAGTTCTTCGAGTTGGAGATGAGCGTCAGCGATTGCGACATCGACCCTTACGGCGTTGTCAACAACGCTGTCTATGCTAATTACGTCGAACGAGGTTTAATCAGTTGCTGCACCCTATATATAGTATATAAAGTTACTACCCTTGACTGAATTAACTATGACTATTAATCACGTGGAGTATGTGCGTCCAGCACGAGAGGAACTGGCTGCAATTCTTGGAGTGAGCGCAAGAACGGTAGCATGCACAGGCAAAGCGTTGGCAATCTCTGAGCAGAATCTCAACTACCTCGCCCCTTTGAAGGTACTCCCTCCGTACTCTCCTAAAATAAAAAGAAATAAAAAGAAAGTCGTTTAGAACAATGCTTAAATCAAACTTTAAAAATATAAATCATAAATAATTTTCAAGTTGTTGAGTTTGAAAATATAAAATATATGAATAGATTTGTCTTGAAAAATACTTTCATAAAAGTATACATATATCACTTTTCAATAAATTTTTTTATAAAAATAAGAAGTCAAAATTGTGTTTTGGAGATCATGTCGCTGCCCAAAACGACTTCATTTACGAGTACGGAGGGAGTATATATACTTCTTATAAAATACTATATCCGTCCTAAAATATAAGAACCTAATACCGAATAGATATTTCCTATGCAATATATCTGGATAGAAAATCTGTCTATACTCTAGATATATTTTACTAAGAAACATTCCATCCGATACTAGATTGCTATATTTTAGGAGTTGGGACGAAGAAAGTATAAAGGAGCACTGATGGTGATTTTGCCATCACCTTCACTGCCAACTCCTAGCTACTCCCTAAAGTTTCTCTGTAAGACCAGTTTAGTCACTAACCTTTTAAATGGTCTAAAGAAATCCTTTAACTTTATCATAAGATCTAGAATAGTCTTTGGTCCACCAAAATCGTCATATGGATATACCATGACATCATTCATGCAAAATCTATGATGAATTTTCCAATTTACCCTTACGTATATCATAGAAAATAAATGTAATGGTGAATTAGACATAACCATAGGAAAAAAAATACTTTTTACTTTTTTTTCACCCTTTTGACCTATATTTTTGCTCTTAAATATACCATATATTTTTTTAACATTTTCCTTTTTTTATTTTTTTATGATATATGTAAGGTTAAATTGGACAAATCATATAGATTTTGCACAGGAGGATGGCATGGCATGTCCACGTGGCGATTTTGGTGGGACCAAGGACTATATAAGCCCACCTGATAAATTTAAAGGATTTGTTTGGACAATATGAAAGATTAAAGACTAAAATGACCCAGGAGTAAAACTTTAGAGAGCATAGTAGCTATCCTCCCTTTTTTTAATATGAAGATAGAGAGCTCACATATCAATTACTCTCATCAATTCTCTACTTTTTAAAAAAGAATAAATGATTAATCTGAGACTAAAAAAGACACATATGATTAACAAATATGCGTAACAATTAAGAGATGATAATAGCCTAAAATTCCGTTGCAATGCATGGGCGATAGGCCAGTATATACATATGAATAAAAGAGAGATTTGTGTACTCCATCTGGTTAAAAACCCTTAAGGTTTTTTACAGTAAAAAAACCTTTAAAATACTTAAGGTTTATGATAAGATTAGATTAAATTTTTATGTTATAGTAAGTTATAAAATCTAATAAATTTACGATACGACAATAGTAGTATTTTTCAATAAAAAAAATCTATGCATATCACTTATTATATTTAATTTAAGTATTTGAGAAAATATTAATTGGTGGATTTTTTTAAAAGTTTGATCGAACCTAGTTCTAAATGTCAAATATCTTTGAATGGAGAAAATAGTATCTTATCTCATTAAAGGCTGTGAACTAATTAACCAATATTTTTTTACGATTACGCAGCAGACACACGTATACACATTACTACACACGCAATATCACACTCACACCCTTACGAATGTGTTCCTTTAACATACATTAGAGCAAGTTTAATAGTATAGCCTGCTACTGGCTCCAAATCATTTATAGCCAATGTAATAGTCAATTCATACAATAGTTGTTTACTATACTATTAATACATGGTCTCACCTGTCATATACACATTACGTCTTGTAGTCTGTACTGCAGCTGGCTACAGATCTATAGCCCGCTGCTCTTCTCTCTCTTCCTTTATCTCTTTAAAATATAAATATGTTTATAGCTGGCTTATAGCCTGCTATTGTACCTGCTCTAACACGTTATAAGAGACGAAAATCAAACGATACATTCCTAATCGCACTAATTAACTAACGTTATTTTCAGCGTGGGGCCAAGTTTGTTGTAAAGGTGACACTACATATCAAGGGTGTACGGATATACGCTAAGCAATTCATCGAGACCCTGCCTGATCGCAAGGTAATTAGAGAATCCCAGTCTTCTGCTTTACTCTCTTCATAAAAAAAACTTCTAAACTTTAAATTTTATTCTTCAAAATATTAATTTCTACCTTCTTACCTACTCTCAGCATATAAAACGATAAGTTTTATCCCTTAAATGCTCTTTGTTTACCTATAACCATTACTTTTTTTCTAATAATGAAGGATGTTTTGGTAGGAATGGGAATTTTATGGGACGGAGGGAGTATGTAGATAGAATCAAGTCTCTAGCATTAATTACTATACCATGTCAGCAAAATGTTGACTTGTCACCAATAGGTCCATACACGTATACATGTACTCTTCATTATCTAAGTTAACTTTATTTTTCATCATCTTAATTGTCCTAAAATATTTTAATCTTTCAAGCAATCATTTCATTGAAATTCATAAGACTAGGAGAACAAATACACTAAAATTTGTTAAAGTTGGAGACAATAGCAATGAGGTTTATTAAAGTGGGAGGTATTATATGATATGTGTGAAATGGGTTGAAAAATAAGATTATTTTTGGTCGAAGGTAATAAGAGCTAATTCGGACGTACTTGAAGTCCAGAATAGTTTGATCTAGGAAAAAGAGGCATATGCTAATAATGTCGTTGTCACGAACTCATACGTACTACCTTAATTTATTTTGACTTTTTTTTTCTAAATTAAACTTCTTTGTTTAACCAAGTTTATAAAAATATAATAATATTTTCAACACAAAATAAAAGACTATCAACATATGTTTAATGTTAGATGTAGTGATACAAATTTAGTTTTATAAGTGTTGTTATATTTTTCTGTAAATATATTAGATTTTTAAGAAGTTTGAGTTATAAAAATAATCAAAGTATCTTATAATATGAAGAGAAGTAAATATTACAATGCTTATACAAATATTTATTACTATTTTTTTATTTTAAGAATTACCTAAAGAAAAACAAATAATAGAGATCAGGTTTAAATAAACACAACAATACTATCTCTTCTCTCTGGACAGTGCGTTATGACTATTTATGGGAGTACTCTTGTCATAGGCTACTTCCTCCGTTACAGAAAAAAGAAAAAAAAAATTCAAGGGATAAATCTTGGCTGAGGGAATAAGTGCTAGCTGCAGTGCTGCACGTTTTCTTAGCGAGAAAAGAAGCCGCTCAGTTTCTTTTTTTCATTTTCAGTACACGCATGTCTAACATACATATGCACGCACACCGTTTATCACGTTTAATTCGATGCAGCTCGTTTTGGAATCGACGGCCATCATCGTCTGCCTCAACGGAGAATACCGTCCAACTCGCGTGTTCCCGGAGCTGTCCTCCAAGTTGCTTGACTTCTTCTCGCCCCAGGAAAGCTGTAGCGATTAATGATTTTCCAAAGCTCCAAGCTATGATGTACTCCCTCCGTTTCGAAATGTTTGACACCGTTGACTTTTTAGCACATATTTGACCGTTCGTTTTATTTAAAAACTTTTGTGAGATATGTAAAATTACATGCCTACATAAAAATATATTTAACAATAAATCAAATGATAGGAAAAGAATTAATAATTACTTAAATTTTTTAAATAAGACGAACGGTCAAACATGTGATAAAAAGTCAACTGCGTCAAACATTTCGAAACGGAGGGAGTAGTAATTCTGTTCTATTATAGTGATGTTTATGCATGAATGATTCATGTTCATAGTAGTACTATTCCACTTTTAGCATGACATGATGTACACGTGACAGCTACAGGATATGTAAATTAATCTCACGGTTTTCAGAAATCATTCGAGTTTTGAACTATCCTGAATGTGAATTATACTGTAATTTCCTGCGATACATCAACCGAGAAGGAGCCTAGCTTTCCCATGTCATCCCGCTCTATCATCCACCTTAGGTGAAGTCTACAGCTTTTTAGATAAATTTTCAAACTTACAAAAAAAATTCGGTCATACAATGCAGCAAACGGAATAGTGAGGGCAAAGAACAACATCGACGTGCAGTCCAATTTTTCTTGGACCTGGCTTAGTTCAGCTCTATATGTGACGAGAAAAGTAAATGAATCAAAATATAAGGATGTTACAAGATTGAACAATAGACAGAGCAGTGGCGTAGACTTACAAAGCAGGGGACCGTTCTGTGAAACTCTATCAAAAATACCCACTCAAAACTCAAAGGAAACAGATCAGGATGACAGCACAAATGCTGCAGTCCATCAGGAGAGCGCCCAGGGATTTCTGTAGCAGCAATCCGATCTCCAGCATTTGCCCTAAGCTATCAGCAGAACCAAGGTTGCTGCCAGCTGATCTTCCCCTGACGTTTGGGTCCTTGTTCTCCATCAACAAAGTGAAGACAATGGTTACGTTCGTTATAATAAGAAACAGAAGTGGTCTTGTTCCAACTAATACTCTTGTGATAGTACCACCAATGTCCAGGCCCCAGTTTGAAAGAACCGCCAGAAAGGCAACAGCGACAGAGGCTAAAAAACGGTTATACTCTGTAGCTGATATAGCCTGTGTAATCTCATGCGGTGTGAAATTCAAGTGCTCCTTCAGAGTTTCAACAGACCAAGCTGCATTTTCTGCTTGGTTAGACTGGTTTGGAGGAACAGATTTGGGTCTCGTTTCCATCTCCTTCCTAGTCACAGTTGCTGTTCTATCATGATTAATCCTCTTGCCAAGTGTTTCCTCACCATGCCTCTGCATGGGCGTTTCATTTACTGGCTGAATTTCAGGAACTGTGCTGCTTGTCTTGAATTCTCGAAGTAGGTCACCATCATGAATTTCCTGACGGGCTTTGGCAGACAGTTGACTTTCAGGTACTACATCACTAGGTTGTGATTTGTGCAGCCGAGTTATATTGCTGAATTTATCACCACTAATGCCACCCTCACTTGCATTCCTTTCAGATATTTGAGGGGTGGCTGCGTCAACAGAATTAAGTGGTGAATCTGCAAAACAGAAACTAATTATCATAAAACATGATGTTTAAGAAGCCAAAAGTTTTAGCTTTTATGTTTCGACTACACCCATAGGAATCATCTAAATTAAGAATGAGATATATAAAGAGAATTTAGGTCAATAAAATTATTAGTCTGTAAGTGCAATGATACTCCTGCAGACAGATTATAATAGATGCTCAAGGATAACTATGACCGACTTAGAGAGCATAAATGCATAATCTAATGAGTAAATTGATACTGAAAATGAGATGAAAAAAAAACAATGGTTAGTTAATGGAAGTATCAAGACTAAGAAGACTCTTGTCTGACAGCTGATAAATGATGCATGACAAGGGCAAATAGGTAGTTGTAGTGCTGTTATGGAGAGCTAATTATTAACACAGCTGAGGTAGCTGCTAAATTTTAGTTCATGAAAGAGTGAAGCCTTCTATATGTGCTCCCACATGAATATCTTTCTTGTCTAACTACTTGGAAATCTTCCGTTATCTAGAACACAAACAATACCTACTTCTGCAATGCAGTTTAATCAACTGCAATAGCAAACAGCGCAAAAGCAGCATCAAGGTCCAAGGACATCTCATGAGGCTAAATGTCCCGAATGATTCTTGTTTCTCCCATGTTAAAAAACCAAAATGCTGCAAAATAAAGGTAGGGGACTGTCTATGTTCCCTTCAACAGAGAATAATACTGCAAGACACGGTAAGAAACTTCTAGGCCCCATTTGGAACATAGGATCTTCATAAAGTCCCTGCAGGAACTATACTGCTTACCTCTGATATTGGTACACTCCAAACAATGCCTTAATTCTTCAAGTGTACATTGACCTTTTAGGTATAAATTTCAGATAAAAGTAGTTCCTCTTCAAATTTCCAGCAATGTATTAATGTACCTTTGTGTTCTATTGAGCAAGATAATTGCACCAAAATAACAAGTCGAAAGAACCAGATTACATACTATACACTAACACACCACCACCAAATTATGCATCCTGTGATATTCGTGAGATAAGATGATGCAGAACAGATGCATTCCGTTTGATCAATAAGAGAACATACGTAAAAAAAGAACAATAAGAGAAGAACATCCCTTGCAATTTGTCAACACGCTAAATAGCAACTTTCGTTTTTTGCATCATCACAACACCGAACGAACTGTGTAATATGGTCAGTTTTCTAAACGGCATATGAGATTCCAAATCTAATAGTGAATTGCAGATCTGTTTAACACATCTGCAGCAATCCTAACAGAGAGTCTCGCCCAGGCCAAGTAATCGACGCATGCATATAGTTCTCTAGAACAAAACGGAACAATAATCATCACAACTAACGAGATTAAATCTGGACGCGAAAGCAACATACTCCGTATTACAGATTTCGCAACAGCCATAAGAACAAACGATTTGCTCTCCTTTTTTTTTCTTTTTTTTTTACCTGGGAGCGGATCGGAGGGGAGGGTCTGCGCCTGGCCGGTGATGAAGGCGAGGCGATCGGCTCCCCTCTCCACCAGACGCCGCCGCCGCGCGTTCGTGCCGCCCTCCATCGCCAGGCTACCCCCTCTGCGCGCCCACGCAGCTGCTACCTGCCGGAAGCGGGCCCCAGCGAAGGGGGAATGCGGGCGGAAAGAGGAGAGGGGAGAAGCGGCGGTGGCGCGGCTGGGACGGAGGGAGGCGACGTCGTCGGCGGCGTGGAGGAACGGCGGCGCGGCGGGGATCGAGATGGGCAGAGGGATGTGGAGGCGGCGCGGCGCGTCGCGGGGCGACCAGGGAAGATAGGCGTGTGTTGTCCGGTTGTCCCCACGATAATATCAGAGCTCCATCTCAACCGTTGGATGCAATAGGAGCGGTAACGGACGCTTCGGAGCTTTTTTTTTCTCTCGAAAGAACCCCTAGAAGAGTCTTTGTGTATACATAATACAACATTTATTTTGGTTGTACTCCCTCCTTTTCGAAATGTTAGACACCATTGACTTTTTAGCACATGTTTAACCGTTCGTCTTATTTAAAAATTTTTGTGAAATATGTAAAATTATATGCCTACATAAAAATATATTTAAAAATGAATCAAATGATAGGAAAAGAATTAATAATTACTTAAATTTTTTGAATAAGATGAACGGTCAAAAATGTGCTAAAAAGTCAACGGCGTTAAACATTTTGAAATGGAGGGAGTATTATTATCACAGTTGTGATAATATCCTTCAGACGGACATTTTTTTCTAGAATGTAGTATTCATTTTGGTAATTAAAGCTACGACCAATTATGATAATGAAAGATTGCAGTTCTTACAACAACGAATTATCACTATATCCCCTTACCCGTAGGTATACCCATGCAAAATAACACCTACCGATCCAACACTAAAAGTCTAAGACCCAGTCGTGGGTGTAGGATTCATCCGTACCCCATACACATTTGGTTAGTAGAGACACGTTAAGTAACAATACCAATAATATATATAGGGAGGAGACTAAACGACGATGCAAGAGAGACTAGAGATGGAGCACGAGCACGACTCCTCGATCCTAATACCCTAGGACCTGAGTCATTGATGTTTGTCCAAACCCCCTAGTTGAGGTCACCTCGTGAGCATGGTGCATTATATCTAGTTGCTACTCGCTACCGTAGTATATGTGTTAAAAATAGGGCTACGAGCTGTAGCAAAGGTCTATAGGACGCTACAACAGGGGTTGTAGGGTGGGATGAATTTAATATAGGCTTGGTGGATGTTAAGTCTTAGGCCACCAATAGTTTTAGTATTGGTTTACCTGCAAAGTAATGTGTATGGATTTTACCCGTTAATAAATCCATGGGTAAAAAAAAAGTAGATCATATATGTTTTCTAATAGAGTAAAAATTCATTTGATCTTGATCATGGCTTGGTGGACGAGCCATGCGGATTGCTTGTGTGAGACAGGAGCGATCATGCACGTGGCTCCAGATAGCTATCGTATGTATGGTTGCGACTTATGGCCCATCTGGTTGGGTGGTTCGGTGAAAATTTTTGGTATAATTAATCAAAGTATTATTATTGCAAACTTGACAAATATATTTATTTGAAAAATTTTACATAAAACATGCTAACGGAAATTTTTTAAAAAAAATTACATATGTAAGTTCCTACAAATAACTTAGCCTTGGGAGCATGTTCAATGCATGCTGACCGAACGAGTTGTGCGTTTTTTTTTTTGTCACTGCTACAGTAGATAGTCGCAGCATTTCGCAACCAACAAATAGTGACTGCGTGAGCGCGCGTCGTCTCCTAGTTTTGGATATGCAGATCACGATAACCTAGCTAGAAAATTATATTTATAGTAGACGTAAATTAGATACGCATTTCAGCTCATATCGGAGATATATATCGGGGGGGTGGAGAGATTGGAGACATGGTAACACGCTTTTGCCATCCCAGGATGATACGGATCGTGCATTTTGCACAAGCAGTATCTTTGGGTTTACCCATCTAGCCATTGGCAGTAGAAACTACCAGCGTTTTCCCTTATCTGAAAAATCATGATCCTGCCTGCTTCTGTCGGTCGGTTTGTATTGTGCATTTGTGCGTAACCAGTAGTGAAGGCAAAAAGCATCTAGGTGCCTTCAGGCTTCGGTTGCTCCATCTCCATGCCTCTCTAGGTACGTAGTACACATGACACCAGTATATTTCACATTTTCACTCATGCTCCAGCCCCTTAAAATGATATGATGTACACATGACACCTACAGATCTAGTATAAACTAGCATCCCAACTTTACTTTGACATACTTCCTCCGTCTCATAATATAAGAGATTTTGATTTTTTTTGCTTGCACTGTTTGACCACTCGTCTTATTTAAAAAATTTTGAAATTATTATTTATTTTATTTGTAACTTACTTTATGTAAAGTACTTTAAGCACAACTTTTTCGTTTTTTATATTTGCACAAATTTTCTAAATGAGACGAGTGGTCAAACAGTACAAGCAAAAAGTTAAGATCCTTTATATTATAAGACGGAGGGAGTAAAACCTAAACTAGTACTACGAGCACTAAAACCACAACTTTACTTTCATCTGAAACCACTCCCTGAACACGCGCGCACACAAACACAAAAGATCAAAATCATTTGATTTCAGGAAGCATGCTCCATGCCGAATGCGCCTCAACATTCATGCAATGCATCGATCTAACCTGAGCTTGCCCTGCTCTGCAGTCACGCCATGAGCCCAAGATAGGGAGAGACCAATTGCTGTGCAGCCAAGGCTACATCCTGTATATAGGCATGTAGCTAGCTAGGCACATGCATCAGTTTGTCGCGTACTCCCTCCGTCCCAAAAAATGACAAACCCTAGTTTCCGTGCCCAACGTTTGACCGTCCGTCTTATTTGAAAAAATTATGAAAAAAATTAAAAAGACAAGTCACGCATAAAATATTAATCATGTTTTATCATCTAACAACAATGAAAATACAAATTATAAAAAAAATTCATATAAGACGGACAGTCAAAATTGGACACGAAAACTCAGGGTTTGCCTTTTTTAGGGACGGAGGGAGTACTATGCAATACACACAATGATGCCATGTACTACTACGCTGCAAGTAAACACACAGCTGAACAAAAGCTGCTCGGTTGCTCAGTGGTCACCACACACCAGGGGGGTCTCACAATTCGTCAGTACTGGAGTACATACAAGCAACAAGCTTGATATACTCCAGAACCCCAGTGGCTAACGGACAAGCAAGAACTCGCTCATTCAGGACAGAATATTTCCGTTTCCTTCTCCGTCCCCCTTCAATTCCAAACACTGTGATCAGAGGAGAGGAGGAGATGCTTCCTGCCTTTCCTGTGTTCGCTGCATGCATGCATTCCTGCAGTGCTAACTACTCTGTCTCTATTCTAATTCAGCAGCATCTTCCAATCGGGACCAACTGTACAGAATTTACGCGTAGTCAGTTACTAGTCACTACGACACCCTAACCGTTCTCACCACAATACATAACATTCATGAACACGCATTTGGGTTAATATCAGTTTTTATGGCCAGCTTTAACTGGAGATACTGTGAAATCTCTACAGGTTGTGCGAAGCAAATGTTTGCTGGTTTGGCTCTCTGCTCCTGCTCCTACCAGATTCGACGTGTGTACGTTGAGTATGATGTCTTTACAAGCCAAGTTTGCGTCTTTTCCAAGACCCACAAGATGCGCTAGCTTTTACAGAGCACGCATCTTTCGTCTTCGTCGTCATGAGCGTGAAAAATGCTAATATTCACAAAGCTTGGGTTGAATGCATGCATTGATGCATGAATGGGTACATTTTCCAGTGATCCGGCATGGTTTGGATGTACGGCTCGGTCGGCATTTTGGGGTCCTTTTCTCTGAACCTTTTCTCCACCTGCTACTCTGCTAGAGATGCCTGATCAAAGATAACAATACCTACGGCTAGTACACGCGCTCACCATACCAGCCACAGCCAGTAGCAGCTAGCTACCCTCTTCACCAATCTCAGCACTATCCATTCACATGAACGGCACCGTGCAACTGATTAACGCTCCGTTTGGGAAACTTAAAATTCAAAGATGGAGTTGATTGGTATCCGGCTTCTTAAAAAAAATCTTTAAAATAAACTACTCCCTTTGTTTCAAAATATAACAATTCTTAGTTCTTAGGATTTGTCCCAAAATATAACAACTTCTCCACCAATATTCTCTTCCCAACCAATCACAACTCTTCACCATTCACTTTTCCCACATACCCCCACTACTCATCCAATCACAACCCTTCATCATTCACTTCTATCTACTTTCTTAATAACCGTGCACAACTCTAAAACTTCTTATATTCTGAGACGGAAGGAGTAGATTTTTGAGTTCTTTTTTAGATCCTATAGCTATATAGTAGTCCTGTTTGAGGTAACTTTACATTGTGAGAAGCAGTTGTTAAAAATTTGGATTCTACAACTATAGATTCTTAGAATCTGAGTGAAAATCTAAACGGTTTCGAGAAGCTTCTGACAGTTGCGACTTCTAGAAGAATCTCAAGCTACTAGGAGCTCCCCCAAGTAGGGGAGGAGCTAGAAAATTTTGTAGCTATACCTGATCTATTTTCACCATGTGTGCACCCTCCTCAATACAAATTTAGACACCCACATTAGCTTAAATTTGATATAAATCAGAGTAAATTAAACAAGTGGCACTCCCCTCCATCTCACTCTAAATCCGCCCCTGAATATGTGTGAGAATCGAAACTATATGATACAATATATGATATTTGGGAGAAGCTAGTGCAGCTTTTCCGAATTCTACACAACTTCTTATAATTTGAACGAAAATCTGAACTGTTTCCCGATCGAGTCGACGTGCTCGTGGAATGTGGACCAGCGCTACCTGCGCGTGCCGTCCGCCCCAAACGGCGATCGATCGACCGATCGAGATCTGGGAGACTGACAGCGTAAAGCGTGACGAGGTACAATATATATGCCCCCCTTCACGGCTTGCTTGTTTGTAAACCGAGGCCACCAACAACCATGTGACCGACCCTCGCACCAACGTAACTGCTCGATGGATGGATGGATCAATCGATCGGCCTCCCGTTGTTCCATCACACGGAGGAACCCCCCATTAATGGCCACACATCACATTCGGTCATGAGATTTGCTGCTGCTGTCATTTATGGACCAAACCAATACCACTATATGAAACCATGCAAACAATACACATGCATGGACCGATCGATCATCTCCTGCAGGCTGCAGCTAAGCTAGAGATGTAATCATTGTCGATTTCCTTTGCTCTTAATAGTGGCAATTAATCAATTTTCCAGTATAAAATTTTAGCAGGTGTAGGGAATGTTTAGATCCAGAGGTGTAAAGTTTTGGCGTGTCATATTGGATATTATATAGGGTTTCGCATAGGGTATTCGGGCACTAATAAAAAAAACTAATTACATAATCCGTCAGTAAATTGCTAGACGAATTTATTAAGCCTAATTAATCCATCATTAGCAAATATTTACTATAGCACCATATTGTCAAATCATTGAGCAATTAGGCTTAAAAGATTCGTCTCGTAAATTAGTCGCAATTTGTGCAATTGTTTATTTTTTTTATCTATATTTAATACTTAATACAAGTGTTCAAACGTTCAATGTGATAGGGTATAAAATTTTTAGCAGGTATCTAAACAGACCCGTAGAACTGTACAATAAAAGGGTTGCTACTATTTGGACATGCTTTTGCAGGAGTACTGCGTACCAATGAGGCAATGACCAACACACACACACACAGGCCCGGCCCCCATGCGACTTGTGTGAGCAACTTTACAAAACGAACCGGAATCACGCGTGCATCCATGTATATGGAACCTGCTCGGCACCTACATTTCCTGGATGGACGGACGTACAAAAAAGGTTTGGTGCATGGTTGGTTTTCTAGCCGATCTAGATAGCTCTAAACCCAAACAATGCCTCACTTTCAATGTCACTATACTACTCGGTAGAAGGAAGAATTCCCGGCCGGTCTCCAGTGGGAATAGGACAAGCGAGTATAGCGTGCACCATGGTGTAAGCATATGATGCACACCTTCCACTCTCAAATCTCAGTGCACTCGGGTCAAGACATGAGGGGAAAGATACTGGTGCCATTTAATTGCACAAATGTTGTATTCCTTCCCTAACAAAAACAAATATAGCCATCAGCTATGGACGACCATACTACTGTGATGTGTACCGTAATGTGAAACACTAAGGAAGAGTATTATATCAAGCATTAGCTGCCATGGGTTTATTAGTAGTCAACGAGCCACATCTTTTCGCTTATATTATTATGTTTATTGATACTGCTTATTAGTAACCAACAATATCTATAAAATAAACTCTGACGAAGAAATTAAATCACAAAAATCAAATCTAAAATTGAGTTTTAAATTCAAAATTTGATTATACTGAATTGAGTACACTTGTTCTCGTATCATGGCCTCATGGGGTTGGGACACGACAAGCGGCTCGATGATGACGATGGCCTGGTGACCTCTGACACGGAACGGCATCCGTCCAATCACGATCCGACGGCCCCGCATCGCCGAGCCCCCCCACCACGCGCCGCATGCCCACCACCACCGGGGGTCCGTCCGTACGTGGCGAGACCGAGCCGTGTGCGTGGCTGCGTGCACACCCAGTTGGCCCGTGGGGCCCCACCTGTCATCCAGATCCGCCCGTGTGCACCAGCCATTTCGCCCGCGAGATCCGCCTCGGACTGCGCGCCCACCGGGGCTTCCTCCCGATACGGCAATGGCAAACAACACTAGTACGCGCACACTGACGCGATGCGCTTAATAATAACCTTATTAATGACGATTTTAATAATTCCTCCGGGTAATATTAACGGCCCCCCGGATTACCGGAGATAGATGAAATGACCAGACCACCCCCACGCCCAGCAATGACCCGGCTGCCGCAAGAGGGCCCCAGAAAAAGTGTGGTGGGTCCCACCGCCGCGCGCCACGTGTGCGCCACCGGTGGCCCGAGATTCTAACTACCCGCCTCCAAATAAGGAGGGCGAGACCTACAAAACCGAGTGCCGTTTCTCTCCCGATCGAAGAGAACGGCTGGCTACTGTTTCGTTGGTGTTCAGAGCTTCAGATGTGACACAGACACAGTGTGAGTTTACAAGAAAGAATACAGCTATTAAACACACCGTATTTGTACCTTAGCACACGGCTTAATACACTGGACATACATCCCTTGGGGCCCACTTGCAGTGAGAGGGGAGGGGGGGCGCAGTATGGACAGTGGCACTCACTGTAGGCGCCGCCGGGCGCATGCAGGTGGCGTGTGCGTGCAGTGGCAGCGGAAGCGGAAGCGGAAGCAGAAGCAAAAGGAAGAAAAGAGCAACACAAGAAAACAAAGGACCTCTTTGGATCCGGAGGCTATTAAATAGCTCTCTGAAATCTTGATATTTAAGAGTATTAAACGTAGATTATTGGTAAAACCCATTCTATAACCCCAAGGCTATTTTGTGAGACGAATCTAACGAGGTATATTAATCCATGATTTGCTATAGTGATGCTATAGTAATCAGTCACTAATCATAGATTAATATACATCATTAGATTCGTCTCGCAAAATAGCCTAGGGATAATGGAATCGGTTTTGTCGATAATCTACGTTTAATACTCCTAAATAACAAGATTTTGGAGGGCTATTTAATAGTTCGGAGGATCCAAACAAAGCCTTTGGCTTTTGTATGCAAAAGCTAAGCTAGTCTACTCCTACGTTGGTTGCTACTACTACTACTCCACTGCCACTCTTTTGTGCTTTTGTTTTTGTTGGCACAGGAGCACAGCCAGTACACTCGACTGGAGACTATGGGCAGATCAAGAATGCAACAGAAAGCAACAGTTCAGCATAAGAATTGGGATCAACAGATCAAGAACAGGGGCTAGTTCTTGTTGCACTGTCAGTTGCTCAAATCTACATCGATTCCATAGCTTAAACAGGCAAAAAAAAAACAAAGCAACAGCATGGTAGTAACATATTAATTAAACATTCTGAACACAAATCAATGGAATGGAATACTAAAAGGTACGACCAGAAGATTAACTAAGGGGCTAAAAAATATGTTCTTGTGTTTATCCTTCTCTTCTCTTTTTTTTTTCCCTCTTTTTGTTATTCTTTCTGTTTCTTCGATTTATGCCTCACCTCAGATCATCATCTCCGCCATTGCCAAGTCTGGTTTTCTTGCTTCAAGGACCTGGTGGATTGGAGGGGAAGTGGGGATCTGACACGGCGGAGAGCTCCACCTCATCCACGGGCGGCGCGAAGTTGAGATCGATCATGCCGAGAATTTTGGGCTGGGGCGGAGGAGCGCCGCCGCCGGGTGTCTGTGCATGGGCCGCGGCGGCGGCGGCGGAGCAGACGTGAGACTTCTTGTGGCCGCCCAGAGCTTGCCCGGAGGCGAACACGCGGTAGCAGTAGGGGCACTCGTGCGGCGGCGCCTTCCCGTCCATGTCTTCCTCGCCCGCGTCGTGCTCCGGCAATGGCGGCTGCGGATGCGGCTGAGGGGGAGGAGCGACGGGAGGCGCGCAGCAGCCGCCCCTGCCGCCGCGGACGTGGCTGGCGCGGTGGCCGCCGAGCGCCTGGTAGGACCGGAACACCTTCTTGCACGCGGGGCACTGGAACCGCGTCCGCTTCTCCGGCACCGGCGCCGGCGCCGGAGCGGGAGACGGCGGAGGGAGCGCGTAGCCGTCGTCGCTCCCGTCGTCCGAGTACTCGCCCCCGCCGCCACCGCGCTCGACGGACGGCCAGGTGTCGCGGGAGAGCATCATGAGGGCCAGCGCCACCTCCTCCTCCGGCGTTCCCGCGTACGACAACGAGCTCATGGGCTCGCCATCGCCGCCGCCGCCGCCGCCGCCGGCGCGTAAGCCCTTGGCTGCGGGCGTCGGGGTGGACTCGGCCTCGCTCTCGCGGTCGGAGAACGCGTACTCGGAGACGCGGAGGCTGCGCTTGGGATTCTCCCGGAGCGCGTAGATGGAAAGGGGCTTCTTGAATCCCACGTCCTCCTCTTCCTCCTCCTCCTCCTCCTCCTCATCGGCCGCGGTGAACGACGTCGACGCGGACGACGCCGATGAGATCTGCAGCTTCGCGGCTGCGGCCGCCGCCGCAGCCGCGGCTGCGTTGGCGGCCGCCACAGAGTGAGACCGCATGTGCCCCGCGAGGGCGCGTGGGCTAGCGAAGCGGCGGTAGCAGAGCTTGCATGCGTTCTTCGCCATGGCGAGAGCTCTCGCTCGGGAGCAGAGAGAGCTCGCCTCGGGGGGGGAGAGCTTTGCGGGAGCTAGAATGGCGAGATGGCGAGAGCAAGGGAGATAGCTGCGGAGGAAGTTACAAACGCACGCAGTGGATGGAATGGCCAAGCTTCTCTCTCTCCTATTTATTTCTTCTCTTCTTTTTTTTTCCTTTCCTTTTTACAGATTTTTTTTTGCTCCTCCTCGTCTCTTGGTTTGACAGTTTCCAATTTCTGGGTGCTTGTGGAGCTCCAGGCTAAAAAACATATCAAATCACAGATGTGCTGCTTGATAGTCTACGCCATTACAGCCTTAAACCGCATATGTGCAAATCGCTTTCTGTTTTTGTAGGATATAGATATGTAACATCTTTATTTATTTTTTTAAAACATGATAACAACTGGACGCTATTGATCTTCCTATTTATTTTTGGCAAATCACCAAAACGTCATGCATGATAGAAACGTCATATTGTCCATTCCTTGACGTTCATATTTACTAAGTTTCTACGCATTCATGCATGGACTCATCTAGTGACTAGACGATGTGGCTGATCATGAACTGGTCGAGCAAGAATTAATTTCGACATTATATTGTTACAAAAATGTATCCGACTTTGATGGCCTTCCAAAGAATTGTGGTGGTATTGCAACTTTTTTTTTTAACTTGTAATATGCTCCGGGAGATGTCAAAGTAAATGTCAAGTCTGTAGTGAATCGTGACACAATCAAGAATTGCCTAATGCACTTGCATGTATCGCTGGCGTTGCACCTGTGATCAAGGAAGCATTGAACTTTACTCCAAACTATCAATAAAAAAACCTTTAAAATATCATATTTGAGAAATTCAACATGCGAATTCGCTTGCCACAATACAGCTATGTACGTCAGTTTTCTTACTACCCAGTCCAAAAAAAAAAAAAACTTTTAGACATGATACGGAAACAATTTAATCGTAGCCAACTCCTGTGAATGTGTATTGGATTTAGATTTTCTAGTGAAAATATTATAAGCTTAAAACTTTTCATTTGTTGTTTCTTACTGGGTCAATGCACGAGCATTACTAACTTGCTCCTAGAAAACAAATCCAGCACAATTCCTTTACATATATGTGAACTTTTATTTACATAGTGAAAATTCTATATTAAAAGATTTTCATTTTATTGTTTCTTGCTGGCTCAAACAGGGACCATTGCAAACTTGCTACTCCCTTCGGTTTACTTTAGATAAGATCTTACCAAACTATTAAAACTTTGGCGAATAATAATTTCCCAAATACTTAGTTTGTAGTAAACCACAGCAATTGTACGTGTATATTTGTCTCGAAAGCAGTACCATAATGTGATAAACTTGATAGTTGATAAATTTATTTTAACATAGAAATGATGGATCATTTTTTTTCAAAAGATTATCATACGTCAGATATTTACGACTAGAGAATTACTTAGAATAAACAAACCCAAAAGGTCCATTAATTCCTCATCGTCCTTAAGACCCACCACACAAAATTCGTGCTCCATTAAAATCCACCCCAACTCACGTCATGCAATTGTTATTGTGCTTGGATTATACTCTGTTAGCTACCTAACGCCAATCCAACAATCAAAAGGAATTCACTCAAGAACACACGAATTTTTCCGCTAGATCGACCCGGATCGGCGCCGCCGCCGCCTTCGCCGCCAACTTCTTTCCTACTTGTTTCTCAGACAAGAACATTATTAGTACAGATAGGAGTCAATTCCCTCACGCTACCGATTTGGACAGCTGGAGCTGGTGCTCATTTGGCCCAGTCCGGTCCGATTACAAGAGAATTGGTCTTGCGCACACAAATGGGCCTTGCTAGACGAGTATGTACTTCCTCCCTTGCAACTTCAGTCTTCTATAGTAAATCTGGGACGCTGACAATCCCCTCCCCTTGAGATTGGCCTTGTCCCCAAGCCAATGCCCCAGGAAAACGTTGCTTCAGCTCAACTAAATCTTCCCAGGTCTCCTCACCAGCCACCGCATCAGACCACTGAACCAGCACTTGGGTCGAAGAAGAATTACCTTTTTTAACTTGGTGGGATTCCAGAATAGACACAGGAACTTGATGAAGAGATAGGGTAGGCAAGCGGGGTTGTATAGCATGCTTGAATCCAATAGCTGGCTTGAGCTGAGAGACATGGAACACAGGATGTATAGCACTGTGATCCGGAAGATTTAAGTGATAAGCAACCTTACCAACTCGATTCAGCACTTGGAATGGACCGAAGTACTTAAAGCATAGCTTGTGATTTGCCCTGCGTGCAACTGAAGATTGAATATAAGGCTGCAACTTCAGATATACCCAATCGCCAACTGCAAATTCCCTGAAATTTCTCTTTTTATCAGCATAGGACTTCATCTGTTGCTGAGCTCGGTTAAGGTGTTGTTGCAGCAACTGAGTCATCATTTTTCGTTCGGACAACCAGGTGTTGAGATCAGAAATCGAACAGGCATCCTCTCTGATGCCAAAATGCCCAGGTGGATATCCATACAACACCTCAAAAGGAGATTTAAGCAAGGCTGAATGGTATGAAGTATTGAACCAGAATTCAGCCAAGTACAACCACAAACTCCACTTAGATGGCATGGCATGAACAAAACTGCGCAAATAAATCTCCAAGCACTGGTTAACCCTTTTGGTCTGCCCATCAGTTTGAGGGTGATAAGAAGTACTTAAGTGCAGCTTAGTACCAGACCGAGAAAACAATTGTTCCCAAAATTGACTCATAAATATCTTATCACGATCAGAGATGATGAATTGAGGCAAACCATGTAACTTATAGATATTGCTCATAAAAGCTTGGACCACATCAAAGGCAGTAAAAGGATGACACAAAGGAACAAAATGAGAATATTTAGAAAACTTATCCACCACAACCAATATAGAGTTATACCTGCCAGACTTAGGCAATCCTTCAATAAAGTCCATTGTTAGAACTTGCCAAGCACCATCCGGAACAGGGAGTGGTTGCAAAAGGCCAGGATACCGAGAGCGATCAGGTTTGGACTGCAAACAGACAGAACAACCAGCAATAGCGTCCTTAATCCCTTGTTTCATCTTAGGCCAAGCAAACAAAGCCTTGATCCTTCTGTAAGTTACTGGAAAACCCGAATGACCTCCCATAGGACTACTGTGCAAGGCATCAATGATCTTGTGCTGCAAGGCCAGATGATTGCCAAGCCAAACACGGCCCTTATACTTGATAATGCCACTACACAGAGAAAACAATGGTCTGGCAGTAGGGCAGAGGGCCAGATCAGACAATAACTGAGCAGAGTAAGGGTCTGAAAGGTAGCCATCACTTACTTCTTGGAGCCAAACAGGGGTACAACTGTAGACAGCATTCAGTTTAGAGGAGTCCTCAGAATACTTCCTAGAAAGAGCATCAGCAGTCGCATTAGTACTGCCCTTGCGGTAACAAATTTTAAATTGAAGCCCCAACAACTTGGTAAACGCTTTGTGCTACCAAGGTGTGTGTATCCTCTGCTCATTCAAGTGCATAAGGCTGTGATGGTCTGTCAAAATAATGAATTTAGCCTGCTGGAGATAAGAGCGCCAATGGTCAACTGCCAATAAAATGGCGAGGTATTCCTTTTCATAGGTAGAGAGGCCTCTATTTTTCAAACTCAATGCTTTGCTAATGTAAGCAATAGGGTGGCCTTGCTGGGAAAGAACAGCTCCAATGCCAACATCACAAGCATTTGTCTCCACTATAAAAGGTTGAGAAAAGTCAGGAAGGGCCAATACTGGTGCTGATACTAATGCCATTTTTAAGGATTGAAAGGCCTGATCTGCTTCAGATGACCAAACAAAGGGAACATCCTTTTTGAGCAAGAGAGTGAGAGGTCGGCTGATAATACCAAAATTCCTGACAAATTTTTGATAATAGCCAGCAAGACCCAAAAAACCTCTCAACTTCTTAAGAGTTGTAGGTACTTTCCAATTAACAACTTCTTCCACTTTAGACTGATCAGTGGTAACCCCTTTATCAGAAATGATGTGACCAAAATAAGAAAGTTGTGTCTGTGCAAAAGAACATTTGGACATCTTAACTTTCCACTGCTGTTCAGAGAGAAGTGTCAAAACTTGTCTAAGATGATCAAGATGGGAAGTCAGATCAGGACTATAAATAAGGATATCATCAAAAAAAGACAAGTGCAAACTTAAAACAGAAGCTAAAGTGGCATTCATAGCCCCCTGAAATGTGGCAGGTGCACCCGTGAGGCCAAAAGACATGACCCTGTATTAGTAATGACCAGTATGCGTTTGAAAGGCTGTTTTATACTCCTCACCCTCCACCAAACGAATCTGATGATACCCAGCTCGAAGGTCCAACTTAGAAAAGAAACGGGCTCCTGAGAGTTCATCAAGCAATTCATCAATGACAGGCATAGGAAACTTCCATTTAACTGTGATAGCATTTAATTACCTGTAATCGATGCACAAACGCCATGTACCATCTTTTTTCTTAACCAATAGTGCAGGTGAAGAGAAAACACTGGAACTAGGCTGAATCACCCCAGCAAGCAACATCTCTTTGACCTGCCTCTCTATTTCATCTTTTTGAGCAGGATTATATCTGTAAGGCCGAATGAAAACTGGTTTAGAATTGGGCAGGAGAGGGATCTGATGGTCACAAGCTCGTTTAGGACGCAGTCCCTAGGGCTCCTCAAAGATAGACTGAAATTCCTGCAAAAGCTGGCCAATATCAGGAGGAAGAGGCACTTCTGTGACAGACAAAATTTCCTGCAATTGTAAGACATGCATAACAGACCCCATCTTCAGCATGCCTTGAAGTTGTTCACCAGGAATACCCAAACAGTGGTTGGTTTGAACCTGAATACCCAACAATTGCACTTGACAACCAGCCCTCTAGAAAGACATCCATTTAGCAGTCCAATCCACACTCATTGGACCCAGTTGCATCAGCCAATCCATACCCAAAATGACATCATAAGTACCAAGGGGAAGAAATTTGAATTCAGTGTGGAAAACATAACCTTGAGTGCACCATTCACAATGAGGTATAAACTGAGAGCAAGACAAAAGACCACCATCTGCAACCTTCACTGATACAGTGTTAGGTAGCTGTTGTACCCCTTGTAACTGCTGAGAAAGAGCACTGTCCACGAAGGAATGAGAACTACCAGAGTCAATTAACATAAGGACTTCCACACCCTGAACCCATCCCCTGATCCTGAAAGAAACTGGAGATTCAGTACTAGAGATAGCCTGTTGGGAGATAGC